ACCCGGAGACAGCCAAGTCGAAGACGACGGCGACGCCCTGATGCTGACGCTTGAAGAGCAGGTGTTGTTGGGGACCGCGATGGTGACTCGATTGAGGTTGGCGCACGTGCGTCCTCGGGAGTGGTCCGAGTCCGATGCAATCGACCCGAGCCGAAGCGGTGCCGTGGAAGTACCGACGCGCCGTTGTCTGTGCCTTCGTGGCCTGGGTCGGACGAGGCCACTCGAGTTTGGGGAGGTCCTATCCCCGATGTCGTTGGCACGTCCAGCCTGGCCTCCGGGGACGCGCCCATGCTAACCCCGGACGAGAACATGTCGTCCGCGGGAGGAGGGTCCCAGGGATCCCCTGGTATGGAACCCTCCACAGCAATGGTAGACGTATACATGGCCACTACCGGCTAGGGAACAGGGTCGTCGAACGTTGCGGAACAACCGACCATCTACGTCCCGGTCGCCGAGTACCCGCCGGGTCAGGACGCAAGGCTCCCACCTCGCGCCCGGCACCGACACCGCCGATGATTCGGGAGAGCGACCCGGAAGGGCTGGATGAAGAGACCAAGTCAGACGATCCCATGGTGGATCAGGGGACCCGTCTCTCCGAAACCGGCCGGGATCAGGATCAGGATCTGCGGGAGGCGAACCGACAAATCTCCGAACTCCGTGCCATGTTAGCTGCCCAGGATGAGCAGGAGCGGCTCCGGCATGAGGACTATCGTGCGACCCGGACCGCCCAAGCAACCCAAACGAAGGTCTCCCGAGAGGAGTGGGAGTAATGCGAGGCGGAATACCAAGACCGAGTCACTCGAGAGACGGAAAGAAAGAAGGCCGCAGATCAAGAGTTCGCGAGTCTCCAGGTCAAGTTATATTTGCTCGAAAAAGAAAGGGCTCAGGAACGAGAGGAGGATTCTCAGTTCCGAGCCGAAGCCTCCCGCCGGATGGAGGAGGTGTCCGAAAAGTGCAACCAAGCCATCTCCCAAGCTGCGGATGACCAAGGTCCGGGCCGACGAGGATGTGCTCCGGATTAAGCGCAAGATAGAACACGGAAGAACAGGCCCGGGTGGCTCGGGACACCGAGCTCCGGGAGGCCGAGTTGGAGGAGCTCCGGATGTACCGGGAGCAAGCCTCAGCAGGACGCGCGCGACGACAGTCTCGGGAGCGGGCTTCGTCTCCACACACCAGTGGGAGCGGACGAGCTCGGGCTGGCAGACGTTCTCGGCACCGAGACGGGAGCTCGCGAAGAAGTCACCCGACCAGCACTGTGACGGGTAGCAGCGGTGTACCCGCGGGAAGTACGTCAGGGACAGCCTTACACAACGAAACGCCACGAGCCCCACCGGCCCCCTTCGCCTCTGTTCCCAACTCTGCACGAGGTTCGACGTCAGCTCTCGGGAGCGCGGTCCCGACTCCGCCGCTCCCGTTTCGGGGAGGGGCTCGGAACATGCCCAAACGATGGTCCCAGGCCCTCCAGGGGCAACACTGAACCCCGCCGCCGGGGATTCAACTTCGGCTCACACTCTCCGCCTGCGCGGTCCCGAGGCCAGTCGTCAAGCATCATATCCTGCCAGCGCGCATCCCGGCTCCCTGGCCTACGTGAGTTCGGGACGGGAGTCCCACCCCTTGGCCCGGGGCCAGCTCCGGGACCTTTCCCAGTGCTTCCGTGGTCGGCTCCGAAAGATCCTTCAGGGCGTCAACTGCGGGCAGTTCCAGATTGTCCAGCACCGCGCCGACCTGGGATAGCAGCTTCGGGAGCACAGACCACTCGTCGTCTCGACCCGGAGATCCCCACCCTTGGGGAGCCGGGGGTCCAGGAGCCTTTGGAACACCAGCGGCCGGAGGTTAGGTACCTGGTTATAGCGTGAGTTTCCATTCATCGCTTACGACGCTGTAGAGCCTTTCGACACCTCGCTTTAGTTGGATAAACGTCGTGCGTGGTGGGACAAGTTCCAGTACACTGCCAGCAGTGGGGGTTGGCGGGATCAAGAGTTGTGCACTCGGCTTTATAGCCGGCTTTCGCACAACCCGGGAACGAAGGCTTGGGTGCAGCAGCTCCCGGCGCCAGTCCGTCGGAGTTGGCGACAACTCTCGGATCGGTTCTACAAGAAATTCTGCAGGTCTACGGAGTCCCCGGTCGGTCGCTACCTGCGCCTGAAGCAGGAGTCTCTGGAAACGCCCCAGACTTTCCTGTGGAGACTCAACGCGCCGGCTACCAAGGCCAACGTGGACTACCACTCCACCTCCGGGTGCCGCCGACATGTGAACCAATTCCTCAAGAACCCCCGGGACCGGGAACTCCAGCTGAGCCTGCAGGGGCGGGTCTATTTCACCACAGACGAGCTCGAAGATGTCTTCAAGCAGGTCGAGGAGATGGACCAAGGCATGCGCCGGAAGCCCGCCAACGACGTGCAGTTCGGGAGTCACAAACCCTAGGGCACAGGCCCCGGCGCTACAGCCCCTGTGGGTTCGGGGGCATATGCCGCCGTGGTAGCTCCCGAAATTCCCGAACCTCAGCTTCCGGACCCCGGAGACCTACGGTGGGAAGAGGAAGACGACTCGGGGTACGGATATCAGTACGACGAGGAAAATGACGAAGCTTACGATGGCCTGGTCGATCAAGAGGAAGTGTTCCGCGCCGAAGTCCCGGGGTCTTGGAACGACCGCAACGGACGTCCCCAAGGCCGCTCCGACTCCAGGGGTTCGGGACACTCAGGAACCCCCAGACCTTCGGTTCCATGCGCCGTGTGCAACAAGCTCGGGCACACGCGGGAGCGCTGTTGGCAGCTGATGAAGTGTGACCGGTGTGGGGGTAAGCACAATGCCGACGCCGGGAGTGCGAGGCGTGCTGCCAGCTGCACCCGGTTGCACCCGGCTGGGGAATGCGCAGTCATCAAGGCTTTCAAGGACGCGGCCCAGAGAGGACAGCTCCAGGGCCTCCCGGAGGAGGTGTTGCAGAGGTTACGCCCGGAGGCCACTCCGGCGTTAAACAATTAGTCTCGCTGGGTAGGGACCCAGTACGCGACGAGCCTAAGCCCCGTCGGACCTGCTGCGCCTACGCGTACGTAGGCCTTAACGAACCTCAATGTATGTCAATTCTATCAACACCCAATCCCGAGCCCGGTTCTGTCTACACCAGCCACGTCGCCCCGGACAAAGATGAACCCTCATTTGAACTCCAACCCGGGGAACGCCGAGGCTGGTGGGAAGCGAACTCCTGGGACGACAGCTCCTGTTCAGTGGCTTTCGTCCATGGTTCCGTATTCCACCATCGTACTTTGCTCATGCTCGACTCCGGAGCCTCCACCAGCATTATCAGCCTAGACCTTGCGCGTAGGTTAAAGCTGAAGGTGGAGCCCCGGGGCGA